TAAAAAAACAGAAAATCGTACATGCACAGACAACATTGTACTTGCACAGAGCCTAAGTTATATGCATCTGTGCAAACAAAACCCTTTAAATCCACCCCTGTTCATAGGCTTTAAAATTTAATTAAAAAAAAGAAAACTCAAAGAGACTCATTTGGAATGGAAACTGACAATCCATTTGTATTTTTCACGCTTTTTAACTTTGTTACTTAGCTTTGCCCCCTCTTTGAATTAAAATGACAAAATAAAGGTATTACTTCAAGATTTCTGACTTTTGAAAATTCAAATAAAAAATCATAATTAAATAAATCTGCGCGCGATAGTACTGCATCTATTTCGTGAATATTATTACGTACGCGAGGTCCGCCTTTTTAAAAAAATAACACCAAAATCATTCACATTCAGCAATCGCTCGCCATGAAATTCACTAAATTTCAAAGTAAAGCCAGGCAGTAATGTGATCAAACGACTATTATTATTAATGAATAAGATATCAACTTCCATTTCAAATGATATTTGACATGTATTATGACCCCAGTTACCGAAAAAGAGGAATTTTCCATGGTCGCATCTAGCTTGAGTAACTCCAGCTAACATGTGAATTCCTGATGAGCTCGTTAAGCTGGAGTTACTCAAGCTAGGTCGCATCACTTCCGGAGCACAACAATATTTGAGACACAGGACATGCTATACGCATAGCGACCGGGTTTACGTTGTTTTGTTGCTGATTGGCGGAGTAATATCACTAATCACACTTGGAACTACTTTAAAATATCATCGTTTCTGCTTCTAATTACATTTTAAGAGGTAATGTCATTGGGGTTACATTAAAATACGCTTTTAATTAAAGTGTAAAATGATGACGTCAACATTTAAGCCTAAAACAAAAGATGCAGAACCAACTTTTTGATGGACTATATCGTGTATAAGCTAGATCAACATCATTATTAAAGGGGTGAAAAGCGGAGGGATACGAGGTCAAAAGTCACATCCAAGCCCGTTTGCAATGTATTATGAAGGATTTTACAAGTCATTGCCCAAAAGGTTTCGGGTTTTTTTTTGAGTAGTGACGTCACTATTGTTTACAAAATGTAGATAGCCATATTAAGTGTTTATGGTTTTTTGTTGATAAAATCGCCAGAGGATTATAGTTTTCTAGCACCAAGGTCCCGGATGTGCTGACGATAGCTGAAGTCGGTTATTCATTCATTAAGATACATCATGCATATTCATGTTTGCATCATTTACTCGGCACTCGGCGGAAAGCCCGCCCTTTGTTGGTGAGTTTGGGAAATGAAAGATTGCCGCACGCGTACGCACCGCGGCAACCTGCCAGAGCTTATAGAAAGTACACGGCAAATGCCAACAAGCCTTGCTTTTGCAGTATGTTCCGATGGGGAATTTCTACTCGGCATCTTGCCAAGCACTCGCTTATATCGGCTAAGTTTCGATCTCATAGTTCGTGGTTAAGGTTAAAGATCTAGATCAGTCATGATTGTGGTTTCAAACGAAGGCTTTCCCCGTTTACAGGATTTAGTCCAGTGTGTTGGTGACAAAATGCCTGTGGGAAAGGATAAGGCCAAGTAAAATAAAATATCAGTTGATCGTCCCCACCCCCTTTCTTTTTTGAAGCCTTAATGTCCTTTCTTTTTTTTATTCCCCCCAAAGTCCACATTTTCCCTTAGAATTTTGGCACCATGCGATATTAAATCGAAGTTGTGTCACTTTGTATAAATTCGATAATAAAAGGAGCCTCACTTGTCTCGCGACCGGGAACCAGACTGCAAGTCATGCATATTTGACCTTCGACCCAAGTGGTATGAAACCAATCCGCTCATTGGCCGATCAGTTCACATTCGCTGAAAACTTGTGTACGATATTTTCCATCCATCGCGCGTTTCGTTTCTACACCAGGGACGCGAGAAATGGGCAGTTGTTGACGCTTTCTTTTTTTGAAATTAAAGTTTCATTTGAAATTCATAATCGTTTGATCTACATTTTACCCATTTTGCTAAGAAAGTTAATGGAGCTTTTCGATCCCCAAAAAGTGAAACAAGTTGTCGTTTGTTGAGATGGAAATATAATTAAACAGAACCTGCATATCTGGCTAACATGTGTGGATTATTGGTAGAATACTTAATAAAAAGCTGGCAGTCATTTTGAACTGAAAAGTTGTCAGCCATTTTGAATGTAAATGGTACCGACGGCCATCTTGCAAAGAGATATAATACAAAACATTAAGGGCCCCTCCTTCTCTTCTTTAAAAAAAAAAATACCTGGACGACCAACTAGTATTTTATTTTTACTTGGCCTAATCTGGGAACAATTGGACAGATTCAACCATACACAGTATCTCAGGAAATTCTTATAGGTTTTTTTTATGTATATATATATACTAACAACACTCGGCTTGTCTAGTGGAGCTGGACCTGGAAGTTTCCGTCTTTTTATATTATTCAGTCAGTCAGTCAGTCAGGTCGGCCCTTCAGTTCAGCTTGAATAAAGGTTTTCCCGGCTCTATTTAAATTTTTATTTATTCCAATTCACCAATTTTCAAAAATCAAATTCGTCCGAGAGGAATTTCATAAGCTTTCAGCAAAATGAATTTAGTCATTGATCATTCAATTTCAAAGTTCGGTCAACTTATTTAAGTACTTGGTCAGAACTAATCATCAATACAGATTGAATTCGTCTGAGCTATTGCCGAATGACAGCATTACGGGATCGACTTCGTCATATCAATCAATTTAAAACTTGTGTTAAATAAGTGAATTAGTCTGGTGTGTGCTGAAACATTTTCCTTGTGTCCTCGACCACAATTCGGCACGTTCGGCAAGTAGGTGTGCTTAACTTCGCTAGCAGTTATAGATTATATTGCCAGTTTATAGATTACCAAGAATTAAATGGTACCAATTTTATGAAGGGCAAATGAGGCGGCACGACACACATTACTGATATGCTTATTCATAGAAAGATGAGCATCAAATACAACTCCAAGGTTACGAGCACTAGAAACTGAACATATTGAAGTATTATCTAATGTGATACATGTGATAGGATTACAAGATCTATGGCGACTAGAAAAATGAATAATGTCAGTTTTATTATCGTTCATTTTCAGACAGTTTTGTGTTGACCATATCTTTATGTCTTTCAAGCAGTCTTGAAGCTGAACAATCCCTGATGTTCCTTCATCTTGTTTGAGAATGATGTAAAGTTGGTGTCGTCAGCATACATCATGTTGGAATTCCATGGTGATTGATGACATCTTCTAGTGGTGATGAATATAGAGTAAAGGCTAAAGGGACAACAACCGATCCCTGTGGTACTCCACGATCTTGGAAATAGGGCGATGGTTCGCCTTTTCCAATGACAGTGGACTGAGGCCGGTCTGTAAGAAACGTCTTGAACCAGTTCAGCACTTTGTCTCGAATACCAAATCTCTCACTCAGGCGTCGTATCAAGATATCGTGGCTGATGGTATCAAATGCCGCCGCGTAATCCAAGAGCACCAAGATGGCCTCCTGTCCCCCGTCTAGAGCCATAAGTAGATCATTATACACTCGAAGCAACGCTGTTTCATAGCTGTGATGAGCCCGGTATAAGCTGACTGTGTAGTTGCATGCAACATGTTATGAGATAGATGATCCTGGATTTGCAGGGCCACCACCCGTTCAATTGTCTTTCCTAAGAACTTTAGATTAGCTATTGGTATGTAGCTTGTAAGCTCTTCGGTGTCAAGTTTGGGATTTTTCAATAGCGGACAAATATGCGAGTGTTTCAATGGATCTGGAAAGTAACCCTTTTCCAATGACATGTTAATTATGTGAGTCATTATTGGAGCAAGTTCATGGGCACAAAGCTTTACCAGGGAGGTCGGAACAGGATCAAGACTGCAAGTTGTTGATTTTGATTTAGCCTGCTCGAATGTATATTTTTTTCAGAATTTCAATTTTCAAAGTTGAACAACAAATTTTTAAGAAGATAAAAATCAAAAGAAACAAACAATGAATTTGCAAAGAAAAAAGGAAATAAAATAAGTGGAACATTATTGAATTATTCTTACATTTGAAGATGTCACAATTAATTCAGACGAAATTGAACAAAATTATGAATACATTTTGTGCCATGAGACGAATTTGTTTTCTGAATAACATGGCTCGGTGTAGACGAGACGAAATCGAAAACTTCTTGACGAATATGTGTGTCCATGGTTTGAATTTGCTTCAACTATATATGATAAAGGACGAAATAAACATTGGAAGTGCACTTAATCGATTTTGCTGGACAAATTCGAATAGCATTACTAGCATCATGGAGCTATAGTGTTTAATAGCTCCATGCTTGCATGTTGGTACCTTGATCCTGTCTTAACTTATTCTTTAAATAGGGCTTGCGGTCGCTGCCCATGCCGAAGTTAATTGAGCGTGATGGGGAGTAATAAATATCCGTCTGATATTTTCTACACAAACCCCCGGTGTAGGGGGTTTTGCATAGAAATGTTAAGATACCAACTTTTACGACAATGTGTTAGTAATGAGAATTGGTGAATTTGAATGATAAACGGTTTAAAATAGCCGGGAACACCTATAAATGGTGTAGTATAAGCAGTGACAGACAGTGAATAAGGAATTACTCAAAATCTACCGAATAAAAAATGTTCAAACTATAGCACAAAATAATCATCTGCGCCTTCACCGTTAAGAATAAGAAAGACTGTACAACTGAGAAAAAATAGGCCTAATCATTCAAAACTGAAAAATACGTTAAGAAATAATTTTGTTATATTTATTGAATATTTTTTGGTATTGTTTGTGTATAATTATTATTAACATCGCTTAGGCATTGATAAAATGTTGTATTGACTCCTCATTGTTCACCAAAACACATGAACGACTTGAATTTAACTCTCACAATGCTTACTCAAGCACATGACTAGCATCGTTGTATTTGGTTTCGGCAGAATGGTTCACGTGTTTATAGAACAAGAAAAAACAACTTACCCTCGTCCGCAAAAACTACAATCTGACTAGGATGCGTGCGGGTCAATCGGCGTGGATGGTTATGTTGTTCTCCGTCGAGCAGGAGTCGATTAAGCACGACAGCAGGCACGTCCGGCTTGGGACGGGTAACATTAGGCGGTCTGTCCAGGCCAAGCTGTTCAAGAATTGTCCGCTTTAACATTTCCAAGCGAGCAAGCCTCTCAATTTCCTCAAGTGTCTGAGAGGAGATCGAGGAGGACGGATACGATGGAGTAGATGATAAAGGTACAGTGGACGCAGAATTGGATGAGTTGCTCCGCTGAATGTGATCAGGGGAAGAGGATGGGCGTGAAACGATAGCATCATCTTCGATGAAATCGCTTCTCATCACGGTTCTGTCCTTGGGGGAGTCGTTGGGTTTCCGAAGGGGTGCGGGACCGTGTGCCTCGTCATCAACGGGGTCTCCAACGGAATAACCCATCAGAGAGCGCCTTGGTGACATCATCCCAGCACTAGGTGGTATCGACTTGACATTGTTAGTTTGGTCTGATGAGTTGTGGGGCTGGTCAACTACAGTGTCTCCTGTCAGGTAGCCCCGACCTGCAAGGACGCCACCAAATGCACCATGAGCTGAAAGTAGCATCAGTTGTAAGAATAGAAATCCAGACAGTTTGCATGATGGGACTCCCATATTGGAATTGCACAGGGTAAAGTTACCGTGGACAAGTTTAAGTTTAGACCTTGTGGCGAGTAGGTACCACGGAACAGGCCACAATTGTTGAGCAAGAGGGGGTCGGTCTAAATGTCTGGCCTGAGACACACTGTTCAGGCTTCCAGGTTGGTCCTTTATTGCAATTTACGATCGCCTCGGGTCACGTGCGCCTTATCTTTGTCCAATAAGATTGCTTCTATTGGGTTGCCACCGCCGAGCAAAAATGATGTTGTCTGCTGCAATAACAATTTTCATATATTATGGCTAGGTCTATTCCTGGTGTTGATCCATTTCTATTGTCAACTTCCAGTAACGTCTGTGCGTCGAAACCACACCATTCATCACATACAACTAATTTTTGTGGCATCCATTCTTTCGAACAATGATAGAATTTACCCGTACCTTGAAATTTGCGAGCGTCCAATAATCTGAGAGGTGCACACGGGCAAAAGTTTTGTCTGATGACTATCGGGCATTCAAGAATTATTATCCCGCGATCAATGGAGCAAACAACTCCCCTGCAGCTGCATTAAAAATAGATTTTCATTTTAATTTTGGCATGTATGGTGTGAAGCGGAAATAAATGTGCATTCACCGTGGTAGTGTAACCCCACCTATCATTTTTTTTTTGGCGGACAAATGCCGACCTCATACTTTTTATGCCACGTTTGGCCAACAATTTACAACAAAGTAGATTTTGAAACTAACTTATGCGAGCTTTAATTAAAAAGAGTACAGTTAAAGTTACCCAAAAGTAGACGAATTATGGTTGACCAACGGTCAAACATAAAAAAGTAAAAAATATAATTATTTTCTTGCCTACCTATCCAGGGGCGGATCCAGGATTTTCAAAAAGGGGGGGCACAAAAACTTTGTGCGCGTTGCACACATAACGAGACTGAAGCGCGAAATCCCTTGCGGGCAGGGTTGAGGGCACTGGAAGCTCTACGATTCTAGATGTTCTCTCCTACATCATGAGTACTTTAAGCCATTAAGAGCAAAATTCACAATGTTTATTTTTTACTTTTAATAACACTTATTTTTGAGCGAGCCAAAAAAAGTCATGTTTACTATTAAAACATACATTTCTACCCAGAAATTTGCCTTGCAAACAAATAAAATAAAATAAATTGAATTTCATTAGGGGACAGCCTGCCCCAAGCAGCCCCTACCCCCACCCCACCCCACGGCTGAGCAAATCAACCGGCCCAGAAAATTTCTCCGTCCCAATTCCTTTGAAAAATGTTGTATAACTTATAAGCCTGCTGAGTATTACATTACGAATAGTCTTTACAAACAAAAAGAAGAAATAAAACTTTATTTCAAAACCATCTCGGTTGTCATAAAAAAAATTGATGATGTTAGCAAAATTTCCCCGTAGCGTTTAAATGTTTAGTCAAGACTTCAAAAAGACTGCCGCCTGTGTCCCAGTATAATGTGAGGTAACTGCGGTCACATATACTTACTTTGTATATACACTTGTATACACTTTAACCACCATTTTTTTTCCATGTTCTTTTGAAGTCTGCTGGCTAAATAATTTAAGACGAAATGAATCGTCTGCATTCTGCAAGTGTTGTCGAATCACTTCAAGAAATGTCAAGGCCTGAGGAAAATCGTTTATTTGTATTTTTTTTTGGGGGGGGGCGCCGATTTTCTTAAAAAGAAAACAAAAAACCAAACTTTAATTTAACGGAAATGCAAACTGCATCAAAATTCCAAATTCCAAAATATGAAAAAGTTTGTCTGCACAAATTTCCCGAAAGTGGCAGCATTCCTGAGCTGTTATCAAAGGCCTTAAAGTTCGGTGGCCTACAGCTGAACCCAAATGTATATGCTTTGTAATGAACAAGAGTAGCATTGTATCAATTTGAACAATGCGGCTATCAATCATTCTCTGGAAAGGCTTTTCGGAGCTGAGATTTTATTTGGGCATTTTTTTTTTCTCAGAGACAGGGGAAACCTTTATGCGAAAAATGTGGGAAACTGAATTGAACGTGAAATTTCACCTCCGTGTTGTGTACATGCACATAGATAAACGATTGGGGGATGATATTCCAAGTCCAAATAATTCATTAAATGTAGGGCTCCCGATGTTTTTTTTCGTAGTACGATTTTATTCTTCGCTTATTAAAAAAATAAAACTGCATGGCCTACATTATTTTTGTAAATGTTACTCTAAAATATTTCGGAATACATTTTGAAATTAAGTTTGAAGTCAAAGGGCTGTTGATAATCTTATTCGTATTCCTTTTAAAATTAGGAAAAACTAAGCATAATTCGTATTAAAATTTCCCCTAGAATCTACAAAAGAATTAACTGAGGGTTCAGAACTTAATGGGCTAGGGTGTTTGAAATCGTTTTACTTTAAAAATAAATCGAGAGAACAAGACATACTAAGTCGTATTAAAATAACCCCTATTTATTTGATTTCTCTCTATTTGAGGCAAAAGGGATGACGATTAATTCTTCGTGTATCTAAAAAATAAAATGCATGGCCTACATTATTTTGTGAAAATGTTTTACTCTAGAATATATTTTGGAATATATTTTGACGCTATTATTTGAGGGATGTTTTTAATCCTGATCATATTCATTTAAAAATAAGAAAAACCGAGCATAATTCGTATTAAATTTCCCCTGGAATCTACAAAAGAATTAACTTCGAGTACAAACTTTAACGAACTAGGTTTTTTTTAATCATTTTGCATTTAAAAAAAAAGTTTTTGTAGAGAACCAGACGTAAATCTCTCTCTGAGGCCGGGAAAATAAAAGAAGGGGATGGCGATTTTATTCTTCATTTATTAAAAAAAACACATAGCCTTCATAATTTCGTGTACCGGTACATGTTCTACTCAAGGGTGGATCCAGAACACAATTTTGGGGTGGGCCAAAACAAATTTTTGGTCCCCCCCCCCCAAAAAAGTTTTGGTCCCCCCAAAAAGTGGGTCAAAAAAATTACGGCGTGGGGTTCGGGGCCCGCTTAAGGGCCCCGAAAAATTTTTGGATTCTAGATACTCTGTGGTGCGATCTGAGGCAATTTCTGACCACTTTAACCACTGTTTTATTGAGGAAAAGATGGTGGTGTACTCATTGCCTGCCTTTATTGCGATGTCACATAAAAAAAACACATTGGTTTCGTTTTTTTTGGGGGGGGGGGGCATGGCCCCCTTTGCCCCCCCCCCCGGATCCGCCCTTGGTTCTACTCTAGAATATATTTTGGAATACATTTTGACATGAAGCATTAAATGCAAGTGCTGTATTAAATGTGCCCCTAGTCCAGCCGGGAAATAAAAAAGTGTCTTATAAAAATATATTCTTGCTTTGAAAGAAATTTTGAGACAATGATCGACAGGCGACCTTCAAAACTTATACATTGTATATTTTTGTTGATAATTATGTATAATAGTTATGTTCCAAGCGATTGATTTGATGACCGCCCGTCCGCCCGCCATAATGACTCCTCAAAAAGGAAAAAGATAGCCATGTTCTCAAAGGGATGTATTTAATGCGCGCCCGCCCTAAGATGACTCGTTAAAAAAAAAAAAAAAAAAAAAAACAGTTGCAAAAAGGGGGGCACGGGCCGGGTGTGCCCCCATCTGGATCCGCGCGTGTACCTATCTGGATAGTTTTTAGGGCATAACCGTTAACACAATATCTTTCGGCCTTAAAGGTATTCTTGATTACTGGATTTTTCGAAAAAAAATGTTTCACGGTCATGTTATATGACGGGATTTACGTCGGAAAAGCTGATATTATAGTTGCCATCAACGAACGTATTTTTGTAATGATAAAGAAATTAATGATTTCTTAAATTGTGACACACTTTAGATAGAGAATACGTTTACTCTAAACCACAAACACAAAAATGAAGGGAAAAAACCCATTCCCTTGGAGGGAAGCTAGCCGATGCCATAGCTCCTGGATTCCAACAAGCTCTACAGCAGTGTTGTAGCACTCGTACTCGGTACTCTTACTCGAGTACTACTCGAGTACTTTTTGTTTTTGTTTTTTACATGTACTCGTATTCGTACTCGACATGTCGAAAACTTGATCATCAAAGTACTCGTACTCGAATAGCAGTACTCGAAAACAAAAATTGTATATTATAGCTTGACCTACTGCGGCCTTATTTTATCGATTCTTTCAGTTTGAAATGGTTCATTTAATTGGCTTGCGGCAAATTCGAAGTTTTCTGATATTACTCTGGTCACGTCCGGACAAACACATTTAACAGGTAGCCGTGAGTGGGTCTGTATATCGGTCGGACTGGGCCTGGGCCAATTACGCACAATGGACCATTTGCCGCATGGCCGTATTCGGAAATAAAAGTACATGTACTCGTGCTCGTATTCGTACTCTTACTCGGAATATAAGTACTCGTTCTCGTACTCGGAAGTACAAGTACTCGTAAACACTCGGAAGTACAAGTACTCTTACTCAGAGACCTGTACTTATATTCGAAAGTACAAGTTCTTGTACTCGGTAACCTTAAAGTACTCGGCAGTGCTCGGTACTCGGAAAAAAGTACTCGAACTTTCGACTACATGCAAACATTCTCAGCTGCGCGCGTGTACACACGCGCGCCTCGGGCATGCAAGATCTACACACGGTGAACATTCTTCGGAGATTTTTCGATACGAACACGACAAAGGGGGGAAAACAAGATTTCCCATGACATTTACCATGATCCTGAAAAGAAGTTTGCTGACAAATATCAGTTGAATGTTGATGTCCATGGTCGATTTGTTACTCTTTCTGTTTTACCAGATGAATTCCTTACAGCTTCTTAAGGACTTTTTGTAAGTTTCTTTACGGGAAAGTTACATGTATTTGTTAAATGCAAAAGGCCCAGATGTGGCAGTTTTTTCTGAACTGTTTTTGTTCATAGGTTTATCCATTTTTTTCATCATTTCGATGTTTTGTCTCGAATGTACATAATTACTAATAAAATATCATGTCAGTCACTTTTATACTAACGGTTTCTTTTTTTTTTCACGTTTTTTTTATCACAAAGCAAATCTAGCTTTTGCTGCTCAACTATTTTTTAATTCCAAATAATTGCAGCTGTGTTCAACTGCTGGAATTCTTGGCAGGTTTTTGATTG